TATATAGACAGTACATTAATGTCTGGCTGCTTTCACTACTCACCCATCTTGACCTTCTTCCCCTCTGTGTATTGTTCATGGCGAGGCCTTTTGCGCTGCTCACGCGGTGCAGGTGTAGAGCGGGTTATTTCACTCTGGGGCATTCCCAGGTCCAGCAGCAGAGTGCTAATCTGACCCTGGAACTCCAGGCTGCAGGGATGCTTGAGGACCGCCACCAAGTGCAGCTTCAGATTCTTTCGCACGCTGCTGACCTGAGATTTGGCCAGAGTGGGTGGCAGGTTTGCTAAAAAGATGAAAGAGTACAGAAGAAAATTTAACATATAAACACATTTATCTGTTTAGTCTGCATTTATCAATTTGTTTCGTATCAATATCAGGCCGACACAACCTTGTTTTAAATGGTGCTTTGTGATTGGGAACATGACAACACAGGCTCCGAAGCACTCACCATGTAATGTCTCATATGCCTGCACCACCTCTGACATGAACATTGGCCTCTGACGGGCGATAGTGGCCAGGGAGCCGAGTGCTGTGGTGAGGTTAATGCTGGAAATGGCCGGGTGGACCATGAACTTCAGCAGCCTCTCCAGTGCCGTCTTTCCCTCCTCACACAGAACGTCTGTCGATTCAAACAGCATCAAGATATCGGTTTTAAAAAGATGAGCTTTAATGGACTGGATTATTTAAAAAGAAAACATGAAGACATTAAGTCCTCACAACAGGATTCTAATATCTGTACCGTAGCGAATGTACGAGTGGTCTTTGGGAACTTTGTCCAGGCTGATGTCCCCCTCCTGTCGCTTGGGGATGTCTGAGTCTGACGTTCGCGGCGACAGACTGATGATTAATGATTCTGTGAACTTGATGGCGTGAGTGCGAACGCCGTCGTTTTCAGAGTCCAGCAAGGCCAGAACATCCCCTTTCATCTGTGTGACCAGATCCCAGCATGCCTCCTGCCTCTCTGATACTACTTTAGAGCGCACCAACCACTGGAAACAAAGAGGCAGAAGAGTAAAGGGTGTGAAAACACAACAAATATTGGTAGAAGTGACTTTATTTTGTCATCTACTGCACATACTCTTTGGGCTAAATCACACCAAGTGAGGCCTGTGTTTACCTGCAGAGTAACTTTGTAGAGCTGGGTGAGTGTCAGGATGGCTTTCTTCACCACGTTCACACTATCATCCTTCAGCAACATGTTCAGATTGGCGATCAGTCTGAGAAGAAGCTCATTGTCCCTTTTACTGGGGGAAAAAAAAGAGAAAAACCTTGAGAAAGCTGCAAAACATTTTCACTCACAAACATTACATTTACAAGACTGGAAGATTTATCTGTCCAATAACTCACCATGCTTCCTCTATGAAGCCAATGACAAATTTTCTCACTTCGATGGACTTGTCAGTCTGAAAGGCGATCAGCTCCTACAGGATGGACAAACCAATGGAAAACAAATTAGAAATCAAAGTTTTAGTTTGCTACCGTGTCGATATAATGTGCCATCTTACACTGAATACAGCGTATGCATTCAAACAGCTTGTGTGAAAACTGCGGGGAGGTTTACTTACATCCAAGAAATTATCGAGAAGAGAAGGATCCTTGTTTATGATGAGCTCCTGGACCTGAAAATGACAGAAATTAACTGATTCAGTATTGTCCTACACCTACTTATGCTTCATAGGATTATAGTTGTAATAGTAATAATATAGTTTCAAAACTTGATATTTCTTTTTGGATATCAAATCCAGATTTAAAGAGAAAAAAACTACAAACCTGTTTGAGCACTGCTAGTTTCTCATCTGTGGGTATCAGGGCAGCCTGATTCAGAAGATCCACCACCTGGAAGGGAAAAGCAAACTGAATTAACTTTTCTTTGTGTAGGTATTGATCGTACTGATGTTCATTTTGTGCACATGGAAAGTGTAAGAACTCCAATTACTGATATTAATTATAAAGTGGACAGTTTCCACTTGTTTTAATCATCTTAAGAACAAACCATTTGACACGGCTTCATAGCGGCCACTGTGTATTTACAACAGGCAACATTAACAAATATAAAAAGATAAATCAAGGTTTATTTAAAAAAAACACAAACCCCAGCACGCGATAAAGCAAACTAAACTTACAGTTGTTTATTAGTCAACAGAGAAGAAACAAAATCATTACATGGACACGATAGCTGGACTCGTAGAGGGAACTGTCTGTTTCTGCTTCAGCTACAACAATTTAATATTTTAAAGAAATCTACAGTGGATTTTAAAAGGCAGCGCAGTAGTGATCTTACAACACGCTGAGAGAATATTACAGGGTGTATTTCTTCTGTTTGATTCATTTAATAAAATATATTACTACGATGTAAAAGATTTACCTTTTCACTGGTCGTCATATCGATGACCTGGGGGGTCTCCCCCTCCTCGGAGGAATCCATAATGCTGCTCTCTCACAACGCAGACAACATGGTGGGAAACACTGCGACACCTGTGACAGACAGACAGGCAGAGAGACAGACAGATAGAGAGATAGAGAGATAGATAGACAGACAGGCAGAGAGACAGACAGATAGAGAGACAGACAGATAGAGAGATAGAGAGACAGGTAGAGAGACAGACAGATAGACAGATAGAGAGATAGATAGACAGACAGGTAGAGAGACAGACAGACAGGCAGAGAGACAGACAGATAGAGAGACAGACAGATAGAGAGATAGAGAGACAGACAGATAGACAGAGAGACAGATAGAGAGACAGACAGACAGACAGATAGAGAGATAGATAGACAGACAGGCAGAGAGACAGATAGATAAAGAGAGACAGATAGAGAGACAGACAGACAGAGAGAGAGAGACAGATAGAGAGAGAGAGAGACAGATAGAGAGACAGACAGACAGAGAGATAGAGAGACAGATAGACAGACAGGCAGAGAGACAGACAGGCAGAGAGACAGAGATAGAGAGATAGACAGATAGACAGAGAGACAGATAGATAAAGAGAGAGAGAGAGAGACAGATAGAGAGAGAGAGAGACAGTTAGATAGACAGTTAGATAGAGAGACAGAGAGACAGATAGAGAGACAGACAGACAGACAGACAGATAGATAGACAGATAGACAGTTAGACAGACAGACAGACAGACAGACAGACAGTTAGATAGAGAGAGAGACAGACAGACAGTTAGATAGAGAGACAGAGAGACAGTTAGTTAGACAGATAGAGAGACAGACAGACAGACAGACAGACAGATAGATAGACAGATAGACAGTTAGAGAGAGACACAGACAGACAGACAGTTAGACAGAAGACAGTTAGAGAGACAGACAGATAGATAGAGACAGACAGACAGACAGACAGTAGATTATTTCATCAGTGTAAAATTAGATTTAAACTAGTTATCGGATCATAAACATAATTAATTATTAGACACTTCTTCTCCAATTAAAGACAAATAATAACAATAACAATAATAACAATAATAACAACAATAACAACAACAACAACAACAATAACAATAATAATAACTTTAACTCTTTAAGACAATAAAAACACACTTTGTTCTCAGGCTGGCGCGCTAGCCCCATGCTAACCGCCATGCTAACCCTGCGAGCTGTTTTTTACCATTAACGTTATAACGGCAGATTTCTAACACTTACTGAAACGATGCACACTTTCCTCTTCCACCTCGTCGAAGCGCCCAGAGATTGAAAGAGACCAGACTTAAAGACTTAAAGATATAAAGATATAAAGATATAAAGATGTAAAGTAGCTTCAACCACTCCGCTCCTCTGTCAGTGAAGCTCTTCTTCTACTGTTGTAAAGGAAGCAGAACAGCGGCTGCTGCCACCTGCTGGACACCCGGAGACCTGCCGCCAGTGGACGGACACAACATAATCAATGGGTTGTATCGTTAATCAATGGGTTGTATCGGGATGTATGTTTAATGCGCAACAATAACAGTACAAAGCAACTGATGAGCTGCACAATGAACCCAAATAGTTGTAAGAATAACTGCAGGGAGTTTGTGTAAAATGGATAATTAATTAAATAAATAATAGTTTTTTTTGTTTTTAATTAACAATCAATCATATTTAATATATATATATATATATGTTTGTTTTTTAACAAATTCAATGTTTTCTTCCCCTCTGACAATTAACCATTAATCTATTAACTCATGTGTTGTTCAGGACTTCAAGGTTTATAATAATCTACGCTTTATAAATAACAATTTAATTTATCTTTCCTTCACAGAAATGAACGAAATGCTGAGATACAGGCTTGTGTATGATACATGTATTTATTTATTCTATTTCTGTGCATATTTATGTTTAATTAAACTGCATATTTATTTGATAATTGAGGCTTTTATTTCTACAGTTCTCTCTTTATTAATGAAACAAATAATAATGAATTAATGCTTTTATTATAATGGAAGCTTTTGTCCTCCATACAAATGAAGAATTTATTTTTATTGGCACAAACACAAATAACCAGAGAAATAACATTTTATTTAATGTTTTTTTTGTGTGTATTTAATGTTAATTAAAGTGAATTACCACTACAGTCGAGCATTTTTTTATGTATGTATTTATTGATAACAAATAAGGAAAAAGTAACAGACTCACTTTGTACCATTAAAAACGATGTTAATTATTATTTATTATTATTTAATATAGTGACCTGTTGTTTAAGTGCCTGCCACACTGGAATTGATTTGGCGAATTGCCATTTTTTTTGTATATAATATTTTGTTATATTATTTCCAAGAAATATAATTAGTTTATTTTTAAAAATTGCTCCAATAAGAATAGATTTAAAGTAAAATACAACTTTATTTATTTCTTCTCCTTCGACCCAGTCAGGGAGCTGTGCCCCCGAATCTGATTGGACAACGAGCGGCCGACGCCTTCTGACGCAGAACCAATCACAGCGCCAGAACCGGCCGGTTCCCGCACGTCACCCGATGTGCCCCGCCCACAATCGACCTACCCCTCACGAGGAGCTGTGGCTGGTATTTAAAATAAACACACACACACACACACACGGTCTCTCTCTCTCTCTCGTGCCTTCCTAACCGACGGACGGTTGCCGTTAACGGCTCATTGTAACGGTCGGAAGCACGGCGCGAGGATGGAGCCGTTGGTCGCTGCCATCGATCAGGGCACGAGCTCGACGAGGTTTCTGGTGAGTGACGTGTTCAGACGCCCGTTTTCACACGCGACTACTTCATTCATAAAAAACTTTGTGTTTTTAACGGTTAACGTAAAACTTTGTGTTTTTAACGGTTAACGTAAAACTTTGTGTTTTTAACGGTAACGTCGACATTTTATTGTTTATTTGGGACCGGAACTGATCACAAACACCGAGTTCTTCGACTGAACAGAACCGAGCCGCTGTGTTTAATGTTTATTGATAACTTTGGACCAAGCTACAGATGAATTAGCTCGCAGGGTAACTTAACTAACTGTGTGTATTTAAAGTAGAAATAAAACACTTTTATGAATCAGAAGTATAAAGTTGTTCTCCTCGGTTAAATAGATCCTGTAGATTTTATCTTCACTCAGTTTCAGAGGTTAAAACTGTTAGCACGCAATGCTAGCCTCTCTATTAACAGTTACATCAGGAATCGATCATCGATCAATAAACACATTATACACATTAAAACAGGAGAAAGAGGGTACGGGGCAACAAGGAGGAAGCCCCTTACCCACTCTCTCTCTCTCTCTCTCCCCCTCTCTCTCTCTCTCTCTCCCCCTCTCTCTCTCCCCCCCTCTCTCTCTCTCTCTCTCCCACTCTCTGTCTGTCTCTCTCTCTTTCTCTCTCTCTCTCTCTCCCCCCTTTCTCTCTCTCTCCCCCCTCTCTCTCTCCCCCTTTCTCTCTCTCTCCCCCCTCTCTCTCCCCCCTCTCTCTCTCCCCCTCCCTCCCGTCCTTCTTGACATTTCTCAGATATTACAGGTAATCTGATTACAATCACTCACACATGTTATTATAAGGCGAGTAGTAACGAGCCTGCACTTCTTTAAAGACAATAAGAGTATTTAAGATAACATAGGGTAACTTTTGAAAACCTTTAAACCCACTATAAATAAATAAATAAATAAATAAACAGTGAATCCAGTAGATAAAGTTATATGTTGTTACTGTGCCGTTAATTCTATAATAATGTTTGTTTTTACTCAACATCAAACACTAAATATATTCAGTGACTTTTAAGTTGTTGTTTGCATGAAAGACTGTCACAGAAACTCTTTATATCACAGTATTAAGTACATTGCAGTGATTATTGATCATGTTTATGTAGTTCAACTGGGATGTATATATATATATTGGATCATTAATAAGAAGTGATTGCAATTGTGAAGGCAGCGTAGGAGCAACAGTTTAATTACAGTTCATTGTTGATACGTCGAACCAGCTCAAGAAGCTCGTCTCCTTTTAATATCTTCCCGTTCCTTCTCTGGATTTACCTGCGTGTGACTGCAGAAATACTTTTTTTCCCCCCCGAGCAAAACAAGTAAAAATGAATCCGGTTAAATGAACCTTTTGTGAATAAAATTGGGCTCGCTCAAATAGGTCAGCTGGAAGATTCAGACTTGGCTCAGAAGAGTTTGGAGCTTTGTGGAGATAAAAGTTCAATTTGTTAGTTTGCGAGTAGACAGAAAGGATTTTTTTTTGTGCTTGAGTAAATCTGGTAAAAAATAATAATAATAATTGTGAAATCAGCTTTTCTTTGATTTGATCAGCGGAGACCACCGGGAGTCGTCGTGTGTCTGTTCTTATCTCAGAACCTGGTAAATATTTGTTTACAGGACTGTTGTTTGTAAAAAAAAAAAAACAGATGAGAAATACACAAATTTATATAATCTTTATATATTTTGTGTTGAAAAGTTATGGATGTCCACCGCATTGCTCTGGATGGTTACCAGTTCTTACCTTTGACCCCTTTATGAGATCCCTGTCTGAGCGCTGATCTGACAACACTAAAACACAGAAAAGGTGGATTTTAACCAGAAGTTAAACTTTAACCCAGAAGGTCAGTTTTGAGGCTCATCTTGTGAATGATGATAAGCGAACACGCCTCCATAGATGATGACATCCATGACAGAGTTAAAATAAAAGCCCTCAACAGAGCCTCCGAGCTTTATTCCCAGACTTTTTGTGTACATATTTAACAGTGTCACATACAAATCATCTTGATCCAACCCCTGGAAATCCCCCAGACTTCACAAAATTGTGTACTTTTGGATATTTTATGAAGTTATTTTAGAAACTACTATATAAAATCAAATGAATGACCTTTTTCTTGTAGATATTTCTAGATTAGTCGGATCCAGCTGCTTATTACAGACATGATAAAATGACCATGGGTGTGTCACAAGTTCGGAGGTTGTACTTGTCGTACAGAACTTGTATTGGCTTGTATGTAGCTGAATGAGTTTTGAAATCTCTGTGAGGAATCCTTTAAGGTGTCAGTAAACGCTCCGTGGTCCTTGGTTTTAGATTTGTCAGTGTCCATGTCTGACCTGAGTTGGCCTAAAATCAAAATAAAACTCGTATTTGCCGCCTGCGCACCCTCTCACATACTTTCACAGTCATTCAGTTTGTCTCTCCGTGACGATGTGACGATGTTCCCTCTCGCTGTCCAACTGCGTGACTTCAACTGAATGTGACCTCTGTCCCTTTTAGTGTCAGCGGGGTCTGCTCAGTCTTTCTGGATGTGAGAGGATCATAAAGTTGAAAGAGTTCAAGGCTGCAGTGTGACTGGAAACTGCTTGTGGGGGTCGTACGTTCCTCGAGGTTAATGTTTCCAAGTTTTTCCTAGTGTGTGTGTGTGTGTGTAGTATTGCTGTGTTGAAGGGTAATGCTATACAGAAGATGATCCTATTACCTTATTAGAAGAAATGCTGACTTCTGTCTGACTCTATAGGTTACAACTATAATATGCTGCCTCATGGTAAATCTTCCTCCCCCTCTGTAACAGGGAGCAGTCTCTTATTGTGCCAATACACGTTGTCTTAATAAGATAACTGCAACCTCTTTTCACCTCCCTGTACTCGCTGTTTTATTACTGTTCTTTGTCTCTTATGAGTTCAATTTCTCTTTCAGGTGTTCAACGCCAAAACGGCCGAACTGTTGAGTCACCACCAAGTAGAGATCAACCAGAGTTTCCCCAAAGAGGGGTGAGTACGCGGACCTCCGTCATAGGGCTGCTGATTGCTTTTCAATTAATCGTTTGTCTATAAAATGCCAGAAAATAGCGACACTATCTGTTAGAATTTCCTCAAACGTGAGAAGCACCAAACGGCAAATGCATTTTTACTTGTATGACTAAAATGATTATTCGATTATCAAAATTAATGAATTAATCAGTAATAACACAGTAGTCTTGGAGAACGGGCTGCTAAGAAACTCTTAAACCCAACTGAAGCATATTCTCCTGGTACAACTGGATGCACACATAGTAAATCATATTTATTATACCCAATTTACATACAAACAAATATTAAAAGATGTAGTTTTAAAACCATTCTTCGTTGTGCATTTAAAGAACCGAGTTGCACATTGTGATAACTGTGCCTTCCTGTTCCCTTTGAATGTTTACTGGGTTATAATTTAACTACGTTTCAGACGAATCTCTTACTTTGTTTTATGTGTGTAACGTAATGGAGTCTAAGGTCCAGCTCTTATTTTATTGTTCACACAAAAGCTGGCGTGGTTGATGCATATTCAGATCTTACTGTCTACTCAATCTATCCATGGTTGATCAGGACACTGTACAAAGAACCAGAGGCCGTGTATTTGGCACAACCTGCTGTAGTCAGAATATAATCTTTGCTCTATGTTTTATAACACAAACAACAGCTAAATGCTGGATATTGTCACTTTAATGCACATCTCTTGAATCTATCGGGGATCAGTTCAGATCACGTTGCATGGACAAATCAGCCAAGAGGAACTGTTTACTTCTCGTCTACTCAGAAAGACTTTGCACCATCATAACGGTTTCCTCTATTTTAACCCCGTAACTCCAAACCCACTAACACAGTGTAGCCATGTGGTAGGCAACAGGTAGTCACTATCTTTGTATCTGTAGAAACCTGGTTGGGTTTTACATGCCTGTGTTTGTGTTTCAATCAGCTGGGTGGAGGAGGACCCCAAGGAGATCATGCAGTCTGTCTACGAGTGCATGGAGAGGACCTGTGAGAAACTCTCCCAGCTCAACATCGACATCTCCAACATAAAAGGTGAGGGGTTGTGTGTGGGGGGGGGTGTGTACCTAGGACCTTGCTTAACTGTGGGTGGAGATGGAGTGGAGACAGAAACCACACCTAACAGAGAGAGGAATGGGTGGAGGTTTTTTTTTTACATCTATGTTGTTGCTTCTCTCTCAGCGGTTGGTGTGGCCAATCAGAGAGAGACGACCCTGGTTTGGGACAAAGAGACCGGAGAGCCACTCTACAACGCCATTGGTAGGTGCATTAGACGTCTGAGAGAACCAGTATCAATGCCAAATATTCCTATTTACATAGACATTATGTAATATTTAATGTTCCCCCCCATCAGGCATGTTTTAACATGTAAATAGATTGCTTTACTTTTTATAATAATTTGAGATTTTAAATGACATCTACTCCTTCTCCTTCAGTAAAAATCCAAAATCTATAAATAGAAGTCAAACTGCTGAACAACAGGTGTTTCCAAATTTAGACCCCCCCTCCCTCAATTCATCCAGCAATGTGTCTTTTCAAGGTACCTGGAAATTTAGAGACTAGTGCTGTGGCCAAATTAATGTTACAGTTAAAGGGAAAGTGACGTCGATTCAGAAAGTGGAGGAGGAATTATTTCTGTTCTTTCTTTCCATTGCTACAACTTCTTTGGTTACTTCTGAGCTGTAACTTCTTTTAATTTGGGAGATTATGTAATCTTGGAAACAGCTCAGCGGTATGACTACGGTAGGCTGCATCATACTGTAGTGTCCTGTGTCATCACCGTCCCTGCCCCACCACGCACTGTGGCAGTGAGTCGGTGTAGGAGCTGAGCACATGCAGTCACCACCCACCCTAGTCCAGTGTGCTTTTATTACCAGCAAATAGAAGCTTTCATCCCCCAAAAAAGCCCTTACATTCAGTTTGAAAGTCTGGTTCATGTGCAAGCTGTCTCTCGGTTGCTATGTAGAGGAATGTGAGTCATGTGTTGGTGGGTGGGTGTAAAAATTTAAATCTTTCAAATGATTTTGATGGCAGAAGTTTTTGTTTGTAAGGAAATTGAGAACATTTGCTGCTATGTTCCCATTGTTTAAATGCACATACATTGTGCTGTAAGGCAAAAAATGTACATGTTTAGCTGCAGGTGGTAGTTTCTATTTGATGTACTTGTACTTCTATACTTTGAGTTATTTTTTATTTGCTTCAAGTCTCAAAGAAAACAAACACAACAAAACAAAAAAGGCTTCATGAAATTATCTGAGTAGAATTTTAACTTTCGGCCTCAATACTAAATCTACTGTCTGAAACTTGAATATCACAAGAAAAAAAATATAAATATGAGGCGCTAGACAATTATTCATGCTATAGAAGTTAAAGGGGAAACAGTTCAGCTACACAAAAATATGTTCTGAGAATATAAATTTCACAATTTTGACTGAATTTTCGAATCAACCTGGAACAGCTGCTCTGGAGGCAATACTCACATGGAGTTGAGGGTGGCAGAAGAAAGCCCTTAAATGTCAGTCTTCATTCTTTGATCTGCTCTAGATATTTTAGGTTCCTGTGTGTAAGCTCTGCTTTGTCTGTAGTTTGGCTGGACCTGCGCACACAGTCAACGGTGGAGAGGCTCATCACCAAAACTCCCGGCCAAAACAAGAACCACCTCAAGGTGAGAGAGAGAGAGAGAGAGAGAGCCTTCATTTGTTTTTAGCTTTTAGATTCAGACTGCAGCATTCACAAACTCCAGGAATGTGAACAGGATGAGCAGAATATATAAAACATGTGTATGGATGAATGTAATCCTTTGATTCTGAATTACTAAAAGTCTTTACATAGAATAAAAGTCTGGGGAAATTCTTTATTTTTGCTCTAAAATCATTGAGGGTGGTTTATTTTCCTTTTATACCAAATGCGCTAATCTGTGTTTCAACTGTTTCTGCTCTCCAGCACAAGACGGGCCTTCCCATCAGTACCTACTTCAGTGCAGTGAAGCTACGTTGGCTGCTGGACAACGTGGACGAAGTGCGACAGGCAGTGCTGAGTGAGCGCGCCATGTTTGGCACGGTGGACTCTTGGATCATCTGGGTAAGAGCTCCTCAAAGGCTGCAACTGTGCACCGGCTCCGGGTCAGAGAGAGTCGAGTCTGAAAGTTAAGAAAACAGCTTAACTGTGCCGAATTAAGTCTATTTACAGCCTGGAAAATGTTGTTTCCTGTGTGAATCAAAGCGAGGTAGCACGAGAGATGTTACAGCTGTGTTTCCATTTGTGAAACTATGGCCAGAGGTTCACAGAGTCTAGGTAAACGTTTGATGCACACTTGTTATATGCAACGTTATTTTTCCTCAGTGCCTGACGGGGGGCAGGAACGGAGGGATCCACTGTACGGACGTCTCAAACGCCAGTCGCACCATGCTCTTCAACATCCACACCATGGACTGGGACCCTGAGCTCTGCAGGTAAACCCCCACAGGGTGACGGTAAAGAGGATGATGATGACGCTCCCTTTTATGCTGAGTCGGCATTTTAAGCCAGCATCTTTATGACTGTTTGTGCTGTTTGTAGGTACTTCGATGTCCCAATGGAAATCCTCCCCAAAGTCAGAAGCTCCTCTGAGATCTACGGCTGGATGGTGAGCTCCGTTAACGCTGTGTTTTTCTGTGTTTCACTGACACTGTTTGTGTTTGGAGATAGAGCTGATAAGACCTGACCTACTTGAAGATCTTCAGAGCTGCAAATCCATTTAAATTAAGACTTAGCTGTAATCATAAAGTGTGCTGGTGAATGGTCTCATGAAACCTTTTAATCACTGTAATGGTTATAGAACTTGATTAGATAACCGTGTGTAATTGATCAGAATAGCAGATAACTTACTGATAGTGTTACTCGTGAAGTAATAAAGGATTACCAACTCAAATATTGTTGTCCCTTCAAACTTCTGATGGACAGACTCAGTATTTCAGAATGAAAGACAGTCTTATTAAGATGATTTTTAAAACTTATGATCCTGAAAGAATGCTTAAAGAAATGTATATTGATGAGCTGATATCAGAGAAAGCAACGTGCATAACTTGTGCACAAAGCTTTAAAGGTTTTTAAGGTTTTAATCACAAACTTACAGAAAGAGTTCCCATTTATTATCATTCCACATGCTCCCAAAGACTGTGTGTCTGTCTGTCTAATCTGGATTCATGGTTTAAATGGATTTCAGTTAAGTCGAATAAAGTTCCTTATTGTGGTCTCACCCTGATAAATGACCCGATAAGGTGCCGTGTTGTTTTGCTACACTGACAGATGATTTGAACCAATAACACAAACCGTAATGATGTTCTGTCATTTGAAGAGCAATAATAGTGACTGTGTGTGTGTGTGTGTGTGTGTGTGTGTGTGTCTGTGTGTGTGTGTGTGTGTCTCACCGGTGCTGTTATCGTGTGTCTTTGTTTGTCTGTGCTCGTATCTTATCTCCTGACCACAACATGTTAAACCTGTTTTATGCAACATGCACATTGCCCTGCAGTCTGACCTGGCAGCTTTTTTTCGTTGTTTTTCCTTTTATGGGTCAAATTTTTATTTTACCTCAGATTCTAGCTGTCACTGTTATGGTAAAACTACCTTTTTTTTAAATAGCAGCTTGTCTATTTGAGAAGAACCATTTCTCACATGCTGCAACAAGCTTTCTGTCAACTATAGTAAATGATTAAATAAAACTAGAAGAGATGTCCTCTCTGGCTTTACTGATGTTTGCAACAGCCTTATATTGAAATTGTCCAATTCTATCACCAGAAACATGTACATGTAATGTGCATGTAAACAAACCTTCTGCAGTGCTGGTGTTTAACTGGCAAACATATTGCAGCTGTTAAGGTGAACTTAAATGATAATTACTTCCTAATTAGGTAATTAAATGCTCTGCCCTGACTTTGATTTGACAGTATTACATAATGAGATTTATTACATTAAGCTGGACATTTTCAGTGATCATTTAATTGTGTAATAATAAAGTCCAATCGTGTAGATAGCTGTGATTATGCGAACTTATTACATGAATGTTTTTGTTTTGTTATTCTTATTATTGCTACAAATAGGTATTTAACTGTGATACAACACGTCACTTGTTTGGTAAGGGTGCCACTATTGTAGGGAATTGAAATGTGACTGAGCATTATAGTGTTGATCCAGTGGTTTTCAACGTAGACACGCGTCCTGCAGTGTGTTTGTAACGACCTGAGAGGAGCAATTACACAACAGTCAACATTATCCTGCAGTCATTCGTCCAAACTCTAAACTCTGTGTTTCTGTCTTCTCTCCAGAAATCCGGCTCTCTTGCAGGAGTTCCAATCTCCGGGGTAAAGACTCTTCTGCGTGTTATGTAACTGTGTTGTATAGCGACTGTCTATGTGGCCAGTGTGCCGTGGTGTACGTTACATGTGGCTTTCCCTCCAGGCGTTTGAGTTTCCACTACAGACATATGATACTCTTCCCAGGCCAATAATAGCACGGATGCATATTGTGTCAATGCATGTCGACCTAAAAGTGACATGAAACTGATCTTTAGGCATTTAGACGCTTGAATTTAATACTCGCCACACTACTACTTATTTTAGTGTAACTTATTATAGTTCATATTTTTTTTAAAAGGTTTTATTGGCTGTGTTTTTATGTTTGAGTCTTATTCTCATTTATTTATTTGACCATTTAATTGTAAAGTTTTCAGCTGTAAAATGTCCCACCATTCTTTAGTAACCTCATTATTTTCATTCCTATCTAAAATCGTTATCCGTCTCAGACAGGCAGTATTGGTCAGTGGATGTTGTTGGCTTATGTTTAGTGTATATGTATAAATGCATAAATGGACTGTTGTGGTCGTCTAACTGGGAACTTTTCTCCGTCAGTGTCTTGGCGATCAGTCGGCTGCTCTGGTTGGTCAGATGTGCTTCACAGAGGGCCAAGCCAAAAACACGTAAGCCCTCCGCCGTCATCATCTCCCTGGTGCTGAAGTTACATAACATTAAAGACAGTTTGATGTATGTTTAAACATCAAACATGATTGACCTCTATTTCCAGTGGAAAGTAGCTTAAACTAAACTAAACTAAAACATGCTAATTTACGCACGTTAAAACTTATATGCATGTAGAAGATTTTAAAACTTAAAGTAAGAAAACAAGTCAGTTTGACTCGAACGAGCTTTATCGTTCTCAAGCTGCCATCATCTCAACGATGTGTGTTTAAATCTGCCTCTTATTTCAACGTCTTTTTATGAAAATATTTCTCTATTTTGAGAAAGAAAACCGTTAAATCTTCAGGTTAAATCATTTAGAGTTAAAAACAATGGATAAACAATGGGGATCAGTGATTGGTTGTCAGGTACACACAGTCACAGCTCATTCACGTTTCTGTCTGGCTGCTGATCTGTCAAAGAGAGACCGTTCACTGAGAAATATTGGATATTTTGATCCAAACTTTTTGTTGCAAAGTAAAAAGTTGCTAAAGAGGTCAAAAAGTTGCCAAATCTAGTGAGAAACAAGATTAAATCCCCAGTGTACAGATAGTAAGACGGGTTTTGTTGAATAAAGATAACACTTTTTTTATCTGGTAGAAAACTGGAAAAGGAGAAAGTCAAATATTTTCCTTTCCTTATTTCCTTCCTAACCTTTTTAATCAACTTCAAAAGCATATTAGGCATAAATAACAATGGAGAAGTGTGATTAACTCCATCCTTCAGACATAAAGTAAATAAGTGAGCGATGTTATTTGTTCTATGAGTGACTGTCATCAATAATCAATCATTGGTCTCTTTCCCTTTTTCCTTGTTGTGGTAAAGGTATGGGACCGGTTGCTTCCTGCTCAGACATACAGGGACCAAGGTAAGATATTAAATTACATTTGTGGCTTCTGTTCTGCTTTAACTTCACACACGTCACATGTTTTTCCTCTGACTCTGTTAGCCTGTGATGTCAGACCACGGCCTGCTGACCACGGTCGCCTACAAAATGGGAAAAGACGAGCCCACCTGCTATGCACTCGAGGTGTGTGAAAGCTTTTATTAGCCCTTCTCATTCTGAACTCTGCAGGGGCTTACTGCAATGTGGTATACCCTGGTTTGCCTTTTCAACCTGCCTGGTCTGGGTCTGATGTTTCTCCCTCTTCCTCCCAGGGTTCAGTGGCCATCGCAGGGGCAGTGGTACGGTGGCTGAAGGACAACATGGGCATTGTGCAGTCTTCCTCAGAGATCGGTACTTACCCAATCTTATATGAAATTCATGACTCATTCAGAAACAAAAGGCTAAAAAAAAAAAAAAAAAACTATTTGTGCTTAAATAACAACTCTTCCTCTTGTTTTTTTTCTCCCTCGTCTTACTTCAGAGACACTAGCAGCAGCAGCAGGCTCGTCTTACGGCTGTTACTTTGTGCCGGCTTTCTCCGGGCTCTACGCCCCCTACTGGGAGCCCAGTGCAAGAGGGTGAGACAGTCAGCTGTTCAAACACATGTCTGAACCATCAACTGTAATTTGACCCTGAAATGAGGACAAAAGGATGTGACACTTTGATTGTTTGTTTTCTTGTATAGATTCTTAGTGTCTTCCTCAGAGACAGGTCAATGAAGTGAAAGCATGAAAATACACATTAGAAGACTCATTGTAATGTTTATTCAGACTATTTCTCCTCATTGTTTTCCAGCATCATCTGTGGGCTCACTCAGTTCACCAACAGGAACCACTTGGCTTTTGCTGCCCTTGAAGCCGTCTGCTTTCAGACCAGAGAGGTGAGCCGTGTCTCCTTTCTGCTTCTTGCTTTGGGGGGTGGGGTGATTGAGGAAAGCACATGTAGCAACAACTTTCCTAAATGAGTAATACTCCCTGCTGCCAGCTACGTGTGACAACTGACTGCAGATACATTACGTGTTGATGTTTTACTTGTTTGACGTGATGCCACAGAAAGTCACTGTGACTTTATGATTCATGCTAGCTTTGCACTCAACCCTTCAGCTGGAGGGATTCAGGGAAACGACGACTCACTCAAAGCAATGAATATTGCAAGCTGCATGAACCTCCTACAACTTTCCACAAAAACATGATTTTAGCATGAATCATTTCAGAGGCTTGTCTCTGAGTTCGACCGAAGGAAGTGCATAGAGATCTACACCCAGTGCCTTATGAAACCACCCTGTAGATTAATCTGTGTGACGATGTGTTTCACGCCTGTTTTCTAAGGAAACAAATATGATTAATGATGATATCATTTCTGCAACTGACTGAGAAGCATGTGATCCCTTCATAGAAATTAAAACACTGAAAATAGAAAAGCACCAACTTTATGTCAGCAAGAATGTTAATGTTGGGTGTAAAAGTTATTGGTTTGTGTTTAAGTGGCACATTGTGTGTATCTTTTCAGATCCTCGATGCGATGAACCAGGACAGCGGCGTACATCTGACGCAGCTGCAGGTGGATGGAGGCATGACGTCCAACAGGTTACTGATGCAGCTGCAGGCCGACATCCTCTGCATGTCCGTGGGTAGGGAGACTCTCATGTGTACACTTAAAACAGACACATCCAATAAATATACATGTATTTATCAGTTATTTTATCTAAAATACTATTTATGCAAAGCTGCAGTCCAAAGTGTTTATCATTTAAAACAAGTGTGTGTCCATGTACAGTGTAAAGTGAGTTAGTACTCTTTTAAATAGAACATCATGGCAGCAGGAACAACTTCACTTCTCTCCTACAAACCATGTGGGTAACCATCGACACCACCGAGTCTGAACCTGGACATTACACCCTTTCTGTCCTCCTGACTTTTGTCCCAGTTTTAAAAAAACACACATGAACCTTGACTTTGACGTACAAGAGTAGAGTAAGAGCACAAATGTACTGGTGTGTACATATTGTGTGTGCCCATCACGTTACGACGTTACATCAAACAGGACTGACATTACAATGTCCAACTTTCATCCATATTTGTGGATACTGAGATAAATCCGCTGCTTTAAATACTTTTCCAACCTTGGAAGGTTAGTAAAATGCGCCCAAATGTAAGATTGTGTACCAAGCAAAAATACATGAACTTAAGGATCACCTAGAATTTTAACATTGTCCCTCCCTGATTGTGTGTTGCATATTACATGTTGATTTATTCTTTCTGTGTTTCTGCCTGTGTGTGTCTGTCTCATGTTGGTCCAGTGCGACCCACCATGTCTGAGACCACAGCTCTGGGTGCAGCCATGGCAGCTGGTGCAGCTGAGGGAGTCAAAGTGTGGAACCTGAGTCCCGGTCACCTCCCACACATCACATCAGAGAAATATGAACCTCAGATCAACTCTGACGGTAAAGAAAGCAGACCCAGAGGAAATGTATGATAAACCTTTATAGCTACTTGAACTGTATCGCCTCACCTGACCCGTCTGTCTGCCTTCCTCACGAACAGAAAGCGAGTTCCGCTTTGCTCGTTGGAAGAAAGCCGTCCAGAGAGCCATGAACTGGGAGACCACAGAGCCTTGCTGCAATGCCAACGGTACACGTTTGTCTTATTTATTAGTGAAGTTATTCCAGCAGTTGTATGAGATGTTTTTAATGTTTCCTGAACCTTGAGTGGTGACCTGGTGCAGAAGTGTGACTGTCTCAGGTGCTTTCTTTCTCTTCTACTGACGACAGGTTTAGGAAAGAAGACGAACGGCAACCCCTGGGGGGTCCCTCCCACTCCTCCCCCCACCAGAGCCGACCCCTAAGGTCCGACTGCCGCTGCTGCACGCCATGTGTGACAGTGTGAAGTTACAGCACTAACTTCTTCATGTTGTGACGGGGGGCTGGCTGTGGCATGCTCACATTTCCAGGCATCACTAACACAGCGTGTCGAAAGGGTTTGACCAACACAGATATTTCATTTCCAATACAGATGTTTTTAGACTATAAAAGCCACTGAAAATGCTTTGTCCATTATCGGTGGACGCAATAATTATGCCTTTAAATACCTAATTTACAAAACTAATTGAACAGAGTAAATGTAAGTAAGTTACCTCCATCAGATCAGTTGTGGATGACATTATTGTGAACTGAATGAACTCTGTATTGGTCCAGCCCTTGTGTTTATGTTGTATAGGTCTGCATGTGACTGTATTTATTACTTCTCTCACTTTTTCCAGCTGACTGAAAGGGGCCGTTGCTCTGTCACTAGCATAGCTGCAGTTTAAAGTTTAAATCCCTTAAGCACCACTAGAGGTCATCGTACCCGAGAGATGTGGAAGAGAGGTTTAATGTAAGGTCTGACTGAACTCTGAATATGGTGATATAGGGGCAGCAGCGAGTCTGAGTCAGATATCCAAAATGTGTCTTAACCTGAAAATAATCCAGGGCAACCAATTTTGACAATTTATTTGGAGCTGACAACTTAATAACTAGCCTAAATTATATTTAAAAAAAGAGTCATTTAAAGAATCTTAAAGTGAACTCTACTGGGAGTGTAATCCAGCCAAGAGCTGCTGCTGAAGACAATGAGCAGGTAAAAAATGAAATGTAATAAACAAGGTGAGAGGAGTCGAAGGCACAGACACATGCTTATAATTGGATAGAAGTAACAGAACATATTTACGTCTATTGAGTTATGCAACTTCCAAAACTACATTTCACAGCTGTTTGAGGTTTATTTAGATTTCTGTTGACAGTTTTTAAATATTTGTCTGAATCGGTGTAACGTCTGTAGTGATGATGGTAAAAATCGATACAGCAAAGGCAGAGAAAAAATCTGACTTTGAGTCCATAATTTGCTCCAAAAACACCAGATCCTTCCCATAATGCGACTTACTAACATCAACATGGACCCTCTCTACCGGTTCTGGTCTATCTGAACCCGTTTTAACCACAGAGACGAGTCAGATGCTACATGACAGAGCAGCAGTCCCACTGGGTTCACACACGTTTTGCTTCACAACCAGACAAAACGTGTTTGGCTCTATATCTGAATTTTAGTGAAAATATAATAATAAAACATATAAATAATATAATCTTTGTTCCTCTCACAGATCACCAGCAGTAATTGTGGTATAAGACCTTCATGGGAACATGGAAGCCGACAATGGAGCAACACTGGAAGAAGAGCTCACACTGAATAAAGGAGTTGAATGAATGGCTGTGTGATGTGCAGTCGTCTCGGGGCGACGTGTAGCAGTAGTTTCCCATCACTGTGACATGAATGAACACCGTTTTATCATCAACCTCAAGTGCCAGCTGCAATGAAGAGTCGCACAACCTGTGGAGGAGTTCTGAAGCAAGTATGGACCGGTTTCTGATTGGACTTCCTTTGTCTTCCTTTTCTGAAAGAGGGGAAAGTGTTCTTAAAATCTCACAATCCTGTAAATACTCTGAATTTGCCTTCAACCTATAGGAAGGGGAAGACCAGGTGTTCCTATCAAGTAAAGAGTTGCACTATTGTACCTCCTCACCTCAGCAGATACTGTACTGTTTGTTTTTAACCGTCTGTTCTGTGCGTAGTCTTTGTATGTTTTAAAGATCCAAACACAACTCTGAACAGATGTTAGACATGTTGACTGAGACTAATTGTTTTTAAAAATGAAGTTGGGTTTGTTCTGGGAGGAACTAAAGAGGGGAAAGAGACATATTATTGTCTTACAGTTAAAGGTTTCAGGAGACATTTGGGTCGATTTGGGTGTATTTGGGGGGGGGGCTTTCAACAGCACTTTATAATGTATGAAGGAGGATTGTGGGAGCCATGCCGGTGTTTTTAAAGGGAACTGTTTTTAAGGAACTTATTATTTTTTAAGTTCATCATTACTGAAGTCAGTAGGACTAAAGAAACCATTTGTCACATCTGTCCACACACAATCCATTAAGATTTGTTTCAGTCTTATGTAAGCAAAACTTTTACATCCGAATCATCGTACATCCACATGAAAATATGGAAGCTAACTTTAATTCACAATGAAGATAACATTAAGATTAAGTTACATTTAGTGAAAGCTTTTTTAGGTTTTTAATCATTTGAAAAGGGAACATGTGGGTACTGTATTAATTCCTGGTGACTGATAAAGGTTTGTTCATCTTTGTAATGTGTAATTATCCCAGAGTCTATCTCCAAGACAGTTTATGTTATCTGACAATTTTTTCCTCCGATTTGTTGACAAGATGTTTAGCAAGAATCCTTCAGCTCTGTAGGAATGTATAGATGCTGTAATAAATGCAAAAACCTGACTTGAATAATAAAATTGAGTACATTCTTTGTAATTAGAAATGTCTACATAATTATTGATGAAGCAAACGATGTTTTTAAGTCAATAGAGATTTAATATTACCAGTCAGGAGGAAGGAAGAAATGTTAGAAAAGTTGTGTTGAACAGGACGTCCACACGAGGAATCCTTCAGCACCCACAATGTTTACATTTACAAAATACCTTTACATAACTCGTAGGAGGAAAATGGGGTGTAGATAATGTCTGAGGGACGTGTGGTCCCTAAACACAACATGGCACCCGGTCCAAAGCAGGAAGTTCATGTAATAAAAAAAAAAAAAAAAAAAAATTGGGGCCAGTTCTTCAAATACACAGGAGAGGAATCAGTCCAGGATTTAGTTCCTTTGAAGGGCTTCAGCGGGAGAACTGCCTCTTGTCACCCTTTCCTTTGTTGACGTGCTTGAAGAATTTGGATTTTTGCACCTTGTTGGACTTCTGGTATCCAAAACCGCCTCCACCGCCTCGCTTCTGTATCTTCACACCTCTACCGCTGTGGACGTCTGGAGAGGAGTTCGGTTAAGGAAAACAACACTGGTTTTTAAAAGACATTTCCATTAATTATGTAAAATCAGTTTGCCTGATTCTGAGGCTGGTGTCAGACATCAAACAGCCGTTTCTGGGTTGAAAAAGCAATTAACCCTAGCAATAAGATTTTATTGATAGACATACCATTATCTACTCTGCTTATCGGTCCGATTCTTTGTCAATACAACACTTTTATTACATCTGAGCCCAGTGTAGATTAAAGAGTTATAGTAGTTTGAATTTCTTTGTGAAATGAGGGCCGCGCTTTAGACTGTTTCTTCCTCTCTGCCTTGACTCCTTGTTGTAACTTTCCAGACACGAGTTTGAGGACATTGTTTTGTAATGTGTAATGGGCAGAAAGACGTGCCAGATTGTGGAATAAATTCCAGTGGATCAGGCGATTTGGACCCGGGTCTCGATTCCAATCTCTATGAGCAAAGGGGGGGGTGGGACTAAAGCTGTGTGCCAGAACCAAGAAGGAGTAATTACAATGGTGACTGCTGTAGACAAGATAGACGCATGTATTCTCAGTATGACCCGACATCGGCATGTCAGTCTGAAATCAGGATTACAAACCTTTTCTTTTTTTTATAAACATATACTAAATGGATTAAAACACATCAAACTGAACAGTGTGCAGTGCCAAATGTAACAGATTGTGTGTAGAACCGCAGCAAAGGATACTCAGATCAACATAGGGGGGGACTTTGAAGCCGAAGGACTGCGCCACCATGGGGAGGTTGAGGGTGTTGACGCTGTAGATCTGTTTGAGCGAGTGGGAGTCGTAGGCTCTGACGTAGGACTTGTAGGCCTCTTGGGCTGACTTGTGGAGATAGTAGTTCTTCTCAATCAGCTTCTCCATCTAAAAAGAACCAGAGGCAAGTTTGAAATTAGACCTGGACAGCCAACCAACAACTTAACGATATATACTGGAACTGGAGAGGTAGATTTCTTACCTGGGACTGGATATCGGAGATTTTACTCCAAGAAAAGTCAAACTCGCTCAACGGGACCTGGACAACACAGGACACGTGTGAATACAGGCAAATCCCATTTAAAGACATGACACATTAGTATCAGTAAAGGCTGCAAAAACTGACTGTAAAACTGGACATTTTGGAATTATTTGACGCTATAAAGACAAAGGAGGTAGCAACCAGCTGTGTATTTAAATGAAAACCGGCATTTTCAGATGGTTACCTTTGCCTGTTTCAGGAAGCGGAGGAAGCCGAGCTCTTCCGGTCGGAGGATCAGGAGCGCGTGCCCTCTGCCATTGATGCCTCTGGCTGTCCTGCCCACCCTGTGGATGTACTCCTGTGGAACGAGAGTAGAGTTTTAAAGTCTTAATCTGGGACTTGACCCCAACTCAGAAAGTGCCCTTCAAGTCAGACCCGTATTAAAGGCTCTGTGAACGTCGTTGGTTAAAGCAGATTTTCTCTGAATTAGTATCTTGTCGTATTATGACGTAGTTTTGATACCTTTGGGTCATCTGGGGGGTCGTACTGGACGATCCAGTCCACCTCAGGGATGTCCAGCCCTCGAGCTGCCACGTCAGTACACAGCAGGATGCCAGAGTCCGCGTTGCAGAACTGGAAGAAGGTGGTGGTACGTTTGGTCTGCTTCTGCTTGCCCTGTGAGACAGACGGAGAAACAGTTGCAGCTGAGGCATCTGAATACCACATGACTTCAGGATAGGGCTGCAAGTAACAATTATTTCCATCATGGGTCCATGAAAAGTCAGAAAATGTTGATCACTGTTTCCCAAAGCCCAAGGTGAGATTAATGTCATACTACAACCAGAAAATATTCACATTTGAGAAGCTGAAATCTGAAAATTTTACATTTTTTCTACGCAAAAATTACGCAAAATTATTAATTTAATAGCTGAAAGGGAATTAATTAATGAGCCAATCATTGCAACTCTACTTTATGATGCTCAAAAGGTAAGTGATTAGTCTTACGTGGATGGCCATGACAGGCAGGTCGATGTAGTTGAGTAGTTCATAGTGGAATTTCACAGACATACAGGAAGAGAAGAAGACCATCAACTTCTTCTTGCGGTTCTTCTTCAGGAACGTGAAGAGCAGCAGGAAGCGCTTCTCTGACGGGCATACTACATAACCCTGAAACACACCAAACATCAGTTTATACATCAGTTTATTTATAGTATATATGGGAACAGATTGAAGAGAAAGGTAGCGGACTGTACCTGCTCCAGGCCATCTACAGTGGCGTTGTCTTTGTTGTCATCCACGCCGACATAGAGGGGCTCTCTCTTCAGGGAGATACGAGCCAAGTCCTCCACCTTACGGGTCTGAGTGGCTGAAAACAGCATGGTCTGTCTCTTCTCTGGAGGAAGCAGAGGCACAAACATTAAGCAGTGATGGGTCACAGACAGATTAAACTGCACACAGCCTGTGGAAACGGCTGTATTGGGCTTTTTTGTGGCTCTAGTCTGAGAAAATAACTCGTCTTTGCTTTGGTTTGGAGACATTTTAACAGAAAGCCTGTGTTACATGGCAGGGAGGGTCTGATAAAGGATGCCAGGTTGCATTATGGGAAGGATCCAGTGTTTTTAGAGCACATTATGGACTGAAATCCAATGACAGGGGAAGGAGAGTGGGCAGCAGTTGATACGTACTCGGCAGCAGTTTGATGATCTGCTTCAGTTCCTCCTCGAAGCCCACCTCTAAGATACGATCGGCCTCGTCAATAATCAGACACTGTAGGTTCTTGTACATGAATCCAGTAGTATTCTGAAGACACAAAGAGTCTTTTTTTAATATTCTTATACAAGCAGGAGCAATAAAATTGACAGAAATAGCACATACAATAGTCCAAGAAACATTGGTAGTGAGATTTCTGTGCCGTATGTCCCGTCAGAACTCACCTGGAGGTGGTCCAGCAGACGGCCAGGAGTGGCCACCAGGATGTTGACGCCGTTGGCCAGTCTTTGGGCCTCAGCTGAGCGGTTGCTGCCCCCCATAATCAGGCCAAAGGTGTGCACGTGGTGCGCCATCAGCTCCTTCAGCACACCGTACGTCTGCATTGCCAACTCGCGTGTGGGTGAAAGGATCACTACACCGGTTCCTGGGGAGAAAGAGAAGAGGAGGTTAGTTAAGGACTCAGCTTTTCTGTATCATTCAGTCTGAGACATCAAGCTTTATGCTATTATTATATTAAATTAACAGGAGTATTACCGTTCCTGGGCATGAACTTGAGTTTGTAGATGAGCTCTATAGACGGGATGAGGAAGGCCAAGGTTTTACCGCTACCTGTCTTGGCAGCAGCCAGAACATCCCTGCAGAACAAAAGCAAACAGAAACACTGTAAGTATCCACAAAGGTCATGATATGGTTGTCAAAAGACCTGAAACCCAGTTTGACATCAGTTACAACCAACTGATCTGAAACTCACCTCCCCTCCAGCAGGGGGCGAATACTTTTGTGCTGGATCTCAGTCATGTGTTCGAAGCCCATCTCCTTCACTGCTTTCAGCGTGTGCTCGCTCACCAGCTCAGCAAGAGAGGCAAAGGATGTGTCCTCGAATGCTCCTGAAAGTCAACAGTCGATGATGAGTGCAATGCTTTCCCAAAAGCAGATCCCATTTAACCAAAAGGCCAAAGGGGAAGAGTGAGAAAACAGAAAACAGATTATTTTCCTGGCGAATTAATCAGCCGTGGGAAACTAGTGTCCTTGCAGTCGCTCCTGTCAGGAGAATCACTGGTGACTCCTCCCAAAGACAACCACAAGAGTCTCTGTATGCCTTAGTTGACACCCGTTTCATGATGGAAACACTGAGCGGGCAACACATAAAGGCAACGCAGCTGAAATGTGTTCAACATTGGGGAACTTGGTCTGTAAATAGACCGAATAGAATTTCAATGTTAGATAAAGAGGGGAAAAAAACATTTTCTGGTTACTGAATGAAACCACAGAGCGCTACAGAAACAAGGTTATGATCTGCTTTCTGACCAAACATGATTTCGTAAATAAGAAACCAGGTTAAAATCAAACCCAGCTGAATCTCTGCTGAAGGTTTCCTGTTCACCAATCAGGTGTCTAACCAGGTTAATAATGTAGTTTATACACACATGTGTATGAGTGAGAGACAGGGCAGCTAAATGTTTCACTGTAACCCGGAGTGTCTTTGTCTCTAGTCCTCTCAGACATGGAATTGGGAGCATTGTTGGTTTTCATTTATGTGTTGAAGTGATCTGACATTCAAACACCTTCACCAGCTTTATTCAAGCATGACATTCAGAGATATTTACATTCAGAGGCAACACTACAGAGCTGATCTGTAAAACTAAAAAAAATCAAGTGGTGGGTGGATTTTAAACTTATTCTGTGACTGAATTACTGTCAATCTCTGTGGTTTCGTTATTGATGAATATAATGAGCATGAGGGAAAAGTTAAACCAGGTCTGTGTCCACTAGAACATACACAATATAGAGTTCTGCTTCCTATTTTAAACAGTTTAACACTCTTAAAACTCATTTACTTCTAATTTGCAACTGTGTTTTAATGTTTTTTTATACCAGAAATTGGCATAAATATAAAGTTTAGACAAAGACTGACAGTCTGATGATTGCTGTTGTTTTCTACAAGGGATAAAAAAAATTAATTTAATTCAGACTGTAGCAGCGTTACTCGACTGACACTTTATTTTTAAATTAACCTGTAGTGTCGCAGTTTTTATGGAAAACGTCTGACTCAGACATGAAAAATTCCCATCGCCTGTACATAAATACGTCTGAAAGTGACTCTTGAATAAAAACTTGAATGTGTATTTTATCTAACAAACTTTTGACACCAGGTTCTTCCTCACTACAGACGCTCCTCTTCCCTCTTCACCTTCTGTACGTGACCCTTTTCTGTAGTACCTGTTAAACCAGACGGTAGTTCAGGTTGATCCTCCTCTTCCTCCTCATCTGAGGCTCCCTCGTGTTCATCAGAAGACTGTTCTCCATCTTCATCTGCTACCGCTGCTCCTTCCTCCTCTTCATCATCATCTTCTTCTTCTTCTTTCACTGTTTTGGTCTTCTTTTCAGCTGGAATGAAGACACGCGTAAGTTAGCCGTCACAAACAACCCGACACGTCCCAACTCTCAGGTTGAGGGAACCTGGATCCTCCAGATGTTACCTGGATCCTCCAGATGTTACCTGGTGATCCAGATGTTACCTGGTGATCCAGATATTACCTGGTGATCCAGATGTTACCTGGATCCTCCAGATGTTACCTGGTGATCCAGATGTTACCTGGTGATCCAGATATTACCTGGATCCTCCAGATGTTACCTGGAGATCCAGATGTTACCTGGATCCTCCAGATGTTACCTGGTGATCCAGATATTACCTGGATCCTCCAGATGTTACCTGGAGATCCAGATATTACCTGGATCCTCCAGATGTTACCTGGAGATCCAGATATTACCTGGATCCTCCAGATATTACCTGGAGATCCAGATATTACCTGGATCCTCCAGATGTTACCTGGATCCTCCAGATGTTACCTGGTGATCCAGATGTTACCTGGAGATCCAGATGTTACCTGGATCCTCCAGATGTTACCTGGATCCTCCAGATGTTACCTGGATCCTCCAGATGTTACCTGGAGATCCAGATGTTACCTGGTGATCCAGATGTTACCTGGTGATCCAGATATTACCTGGATCCTCCAGATGTTACCTGGATCCTCCAGATGTTACCTGGTGATCCAGATATTACCTGGATCCTCCAGATATTACCTGGTGATCCAGATGTTACCTGGATCCCCCAGATGTTACCTGGTGATCCAGATGTTACCTGGATCCTCCAGATGTTACCTGGTGATCCAGATGTTACCTGGATCCTCCAGATGTTACCTGGAGATCCAGATATTACCTGGATCCTCCAGATATTACCTGGATCCTCCAGATATTACCTGGTGATCCAGATGTTACCTGGTGATCCAGATGTTACCTGGATCCTCCAGATGTTACCTGGATCCTCCAGATGTTACCTGGAGATCCAGATGTTACCTGGATCCTCCAGATGTTACCTGGTGATCCAGATATTACCTGGATCCTCCAGATGTTACCTGGTGATCCAGATATTACCTGGATCCTCCAGATGTTACCTGGTGATCCAGATATTACCTGGATCCTCCAGATGTTACCTGGAGATCCAGATGTTACCTGGATCCTCCAGATGTTACCTGGAGATCCAGATATTACCTGGATCCTCCAGATGTTACCTGGTGATCCAGATGTTACCTGGAGATCCAGATGTTACCTGGATCCTCCAGATGTTACCTGGATCCTCCAGATGTTACCTGGTGATCCAGATGTTACCTGGTGATCCAGATATTACCTGGATCCTCCAGATGTTACCTGGATCCTCCAGATGTTACCTGGAGATCCAGATGTTACCTGGATCCTCCAGATGTTACCTGGTGATCCAGATATTACCTGGATCCTCCAGATGTTACCTGGTGATCCAGATGTTACCTGGATCCTCCAGATGTTACCTGGAGATCCAGATATTACCTGGATGATCCAGATATTACCTGGATCCTCCAGATGTTACCTGGTGATCCAGATGTTACCTGGTGATCCAGATATTACCTGGATCCTCCAGATGTTACCTGGAGATCCAGATGTTACCTGGTGATCCAGATGTTACCTGGTGATCCAGCTGTTACCTGGTGATCCAGATGTGTCAGCGAGCTTTCTTTTCTTCTTTGACTTCTTCTTCAGAGGAGTTTCTTCTGTCGTGGTCCCCTCCTCGGGCTGCTTCTTCCTCTCTGTTCTCTTGGGCTTGTTGTCTGTCTTACAGCCATCCTCCTCTTCCTCCTCCTCTTCCTCCACCGGCCCGGTTGACTTCACTGTTAAAAGCAACAAACTGTCAGCACATCTGTTGACGCTTCAATCTTACAGGACAGCTGTCTTTGGGTAGTAAGTAACAATAATCAGTGACACAAATAAAGAATTAAATAAACTAACATCGTGTCTGTGAGTTACAGGTCGTGGCGTGAGGAGCTAACGAAGCTAACGACGCTAACGACGCAGGTTGAAGTTCGTCACCGCGTCAGAAAACAAACAACAACAACCGGATACTTTTGTTTACAAACACGTACCGGTCTCCTCTTCTTCCTCGGGTCGCTTCTGGAGCAGTTTACGCTCTTTGTTCTTCTCATTTCGTTTCTGGATTTTCTTCCGGAGGAGCTTCGTCTGGAGGTCCGCCATGCTAACACGTGTGTGTGTGTGTGTTCAGGACCCCTCGACGGGACCAGTCTGCAAGTGCCTGAGTGAAACTGCTGAGGACCTCGCATAGCGGACAGGCAGGAACAATTTGGAGATAAATTAAATAGAAGCGATGGCATAAAAGTTGCAAACAAACGTAATACAATTTGCTACAAGATTCATTTTAAGGTATTTTAAGAAATATCCGTATCTGGTAAAATAAGCACATAGGAGTGCAACAGAAGCTCTGCCTGACTATATATTCAATATATTCACACCACCATCTGCTGGCCAGTGGCTGCAACTGTCAGTGTTTGCCTCCTGAATACAGCACAGGTTGCAGACACCATTCAAAAAGAAGAAGAGTACCTCTTCACACAGAGAACACAAAGGCCAACAAGAGGGGGAAACCTTTAATAGGAGCAGGACATCAAGACACAGCTCATAACTTTTTGTTATTTGTAAATGAGTTGGTCTGAACTGTTTTCTGAAAGGCATATATTCATTAGAAACCGGATATCTTGCGTTTGAAAAGGCAGCAAAGTGTCTCTCTTCTCTGTGATTCCCGATGTTAGACGATGCTTCAGATTCCTCTCTATCTCTGGTAATAGTCCCGTATCTTGAAATCCTCCTCAAAGTGCGACTCAGTGCTCATTAAGGAGAACATGACTGACACTTGTTGTTATCGCTTACTGTTGAATAACTCATTTAAGTCTAAAAACTACTGAATCAGGAGACAACGGTGGCGCAATCTCTAAATCTAAACGTTCAGGCCAGCGGCAGTGACTCCTCCTCAACCTTGACCATGTGTGGCTCCGTCTCTCTTTTGATCTCAGGAGCCTGATTAATAGCCTGAGAGCTGTTTTCACTCATCCCCTCCAGCGTTTGGTTTTGCTGGACGGTCTGACTCCTGCATATTCTCCTCATGTGCTTCATCTCCTCCCATCTCTGCATCCTCCTTCCGACCTCACACTCTTTCTTTCTCCGCAGCAACCTCTGCCTCCAGGAGCCGGTTGCCTGTGAACACGCCTGCCGGGGCCTGGAGCAGCTCCTTGACGGCGCGCTCTCCCCCATCCCGGGCCCCCGAACGCACCGCCTCTGCAGGTCCTCCTCCACCGCTTTGTACACCAGGTCTGTGATGTCTCGGCGCAGTCTCATGAGCACCATAGGGTCTTTAATCTGACGCATATCCGCCAACATCACCTCTGCAAACTGGCTCAGTATGTCGTGTTTGGATGTGTCTGCCGTCTGGTCCGGCGGGTCCGGGTGCGGGCAGCTCAAAGACATCACGTCGGTGACTTGAGGCTGTGGGTTTGGGCAGTGTAGGGGAGCGGGGTTCTGGATGGGGGAGACAAACTGGGGTTCATCGTCCAGATCTTGTGCAGTCACATCAGCATCCAGCGGGCTACCAAACGAGCTCCCCATCTCCTGGTCAATACTCTCTTCAGTCTCCAGCTCCTCGTCGTCCTCTTCCCGATAATCATTTTCCTCCTGCAAGAAGTTAAACGTGAAAATCATGCAGGGAAGCATCTGCAGGAGGTTTTTTTTTTTGTGTGTGTTAGTTTGAAGCTTACCAGATAGGATTCACCTCGCCTGCGAACTATGTAAGGCCTCAAGAAATCCAGTTTCTCCCTGAGCATCTTTTGCTGGACAGTGCTGACCCTCTCGGGATGCCACAACACCCTCCCGTACTGAGTCCGGAGGGATCTCGATCTTCTCTCAACATCAGATACTGCCAGGAAAAAGAACAGTTGTAATTAAGTAGTAAAGAAGTGATGATGAACTATAAAGACTATCTCATTTCTTGCACAGTGTAAATAAAAACCTAACATCATGTCAGCCTAAACTCAAATAAAGTGAGTTCAGCTGGGTTCACTTCTTGCTTTGCATCATTTTCTATGCAACACAAACTGAACGCAGCATCCACATCAGACCAGTGTTTCATGCATTTCAGCCCTTTCATCCTCTCACCAGGCTTTCCGATGGACAACGCGAACTCGCTCCACAGCTTCGTCTTCAGATCCTTGTCGTAGTAAGAATCCACCGAGGAATTAAAAAGGCAATCGTGTTTGCGCCAGAAGTCTATCAGCATGTTGTCCATCGTGGGACCCCAGTGTGGCCCCCGGATCTGACCCCGAAAGTGTGTCATAGTCTGCAGAGAAAAAACTCTCGTCATCTATCATAATCATTTATTATGATAAAACACCGGTCGGTGCCTCTCGCAGGATTATGTGTCGCTTCTTCTCCAGTTTAGCTGCACCCCGGATGGAATAACAATGTACAGGACGAGTACTGCCACCACCTGATGTGGAGTGAGGACTGGAGATTTTTACAGTTTATATTAGGATTTTTTATTGTTATTTTAATTTTATTTATTTATTTACTGCACAGAAATCAGGAGAGCCTAAGAGGAACTATATTATTATAAATATAATTAATAGTTATTATATAATATCATATATAATGTACACATAATTAATATGTAGCCTACATTCATACAAATAGTTATTTTTGTTTTATTATTTATTAGTATTAGGTTGCTTTTGTTATATGGTGGCTACGTACGTATAGCAATAGTTTTATATTTTAAATCATTATATTATTATAAAATATTATATGGTAATACATGATTAATCTGTGTTTTTATTAGTAATAAAAACAGCAATGCTACTCACTTGTTGTTGTTATTATTATTATTATTACAACACTTGTTTTCGGTCCATTTAAATTAAGTTTAAGGTAAAAAAAAACAACAAAACATCAACACACATATGATATGAAAAAAATATGATATTATTTAATGTTCTCTTTGTTTATTCAAGTTTAATTTATAAAATATTACGATATAAAACAAACAAACACACATATTATTTATATTATTTTATTTATTATTTATTATATTATTATTTTTTTTAGTAAACACACGACAAACTGAAATTAAAGCAGAATACAAACAAGTGAAATATCGTAGAGAAAATAAATTAAACTCTAACCATACATTAATAATAATATAATAATATAATAATATATTATTATATTAATATAATAATATAATATAATAATATAATAATAATAATATATTAATATAATAATATATTATTATAATAATATAATAATATAATAATATAATGTAATAATAATATAATGTAATAATAATATAATATAATAATAATATAATATAATAATAACAATATAATAATAATATAATAATATATTAATATAATAATATAATAATATATTAATATATTAATATATTAATATATTAATATAATAATATAATATTATATAATTATATTAATATAACAATATAATAATATAATATAATTATATAATAATATATTAATAATAATAATAAGAGTTTAAACTGAAGCCGTCCTCTCTCTCGGTGATTGACAGCTCCACAGCCCGGCCTCCGCCATCTTGCCTCTCCCTCCCTGCCTGCCAGAAGCCGAGTGCGGAAGTGGAAACGGCTCTGTGCGGGGCTTTAGGGTTCCGCCTGTGGACGGCTCACCAGATCTCCCGGCCGACACAGCCCGCTACCCCTCACATTCAACCCGTTTCTGACCCGCAGAGACCCGGGGAGAGAGACAGAGAGAGACATGGCTGGACGGTTACCGGCGTGTGTCGTCGACTGCGGCACAGGGTAAGCCGTTTATTGTCTTTAAACCGGAGAACACCGGGGTGTCACCGACAGGCTGCGTACGGGTAGGGACTGTCAGTAGCGTCCGTAGCGTCAGTGTGTGTGTGTGTGTGTGTGTGTGTGTGTGTGTGTGTGTGTGTGTGTGTGTGTGTGTGTGTGTGTGTGTGTATGCAGACAGCGAGCCAGCTTAGCTCGACGTGCTAACCGACGGCCAACTGACGTTCTGTGTCACGCTCCGGGTTGTTGCATTCGAACACGGTCGGGTCATTCGAACCGCTCTGACGCGCAAGGTCAACGGTTTATTTTTCCATCATTAGTGTGTGCGTGTGTGTGTGTGTGTGTGTGTGTGTGTGTGTGTCCGTCCAACCCAGCAACACCGAAACCTGACGACTCCCCCCCCTCCCATACACACACACACACACACACACACACACACACACACACACACACACACACACACACACACACACAGCTGGTTTCATTCATTTGGAGCAGGCGCGGTTGATATTGCCAGCGTAATAAAAACGCTATATACATATATATATGTGTGTGTGTGTGTGTTAATTCCCACAGTAATTTGCGTCCCGTGAAGGTAACTGTGACTTTTGAGCTGCTCGGAATTCATAAATCTGTTTGCGCGTTAGTCTGGATTTTGAGCATGCGCAGTGCTAACTTCCTATTGAGCACTACACTTCCTCGTTCACGCTTTTTAGTCCATATATGGTCGTTTCTCGGCATCCGAGCATGCTTTTTTGATTAACTTCTCTAATTTCTCCTCTTTGTCAGGCTTTTTCCAACCAAATTGTCCCAGTCTCATCGGCATATTAAGAATCTGATTTAGCAGCATTTTGTTTTCCAATGATAATAACATGTTGTCTCTTAGCTCCTGCAGCATTGTTTGTATTGATTGGGGTGAAAACCTCCTGTTCCTGCTTTTGTTATCAGGTAGATTTTCACCTCTGATTGTTGTTTGGCTTTTTAAAAGGAAGATTTAAACCATGTAAGGCCTTTTTTAAATGTTTTCTTTTAATGTTTTCTTTACTGTATGCACACTCGTTGTTCGTACTTTTGATCTGTGAATGGTTTTCACTGTGAGGAAAATGTCTTTTAACCAAAGCTGACATGCACATTCTTCCAGAAGATCAGCACTCAGCATGATGGGTTTGCTCTGTTAGCTTTGGGGGGTTAAAAGTGGTTTGCATTGCTTGCATGTAGAGGCTTGAACTCCTCACTCCTCACATTGCATACTCCTCCCACCTCCTCCCACCTCCTCCCCTCCAGGCCTTCTGATCCGCACTGGGTCAGCAAAAGAAAAGTGCATCTGAGAATTGGGGTTAACCCTCCGCTCGTACTTTCTGGCCAAGCCTCACAGTCATAACACATATGTTTTAATATCAGTGGCTACCGTACGTAGATTTTATTTATTTTTTAATCTGCAGGAATAATGCTCGCTCAGTAAGTCACAGTGTACGAAAGAGAGTACAACAGCTGTCTCTGAGTCATGCTCATGATGTCCAAATAGTGACAACTCGACTTCCTTTTTGATTCGTTAACCATCTAAACAGCCTGGCTGCTATTATTAGAGGACTTAACCGTGCAATGAGAGAGTCACAGTCACATCCAGATTTGGGTATAGTTGCAGTTAGGGTTGTCTTTGAGGCTTCTGCAGCAGGAAAACAGATAAAGCTCAGGTGTTGCTGCTTAGTGCAGTCAGACGGTTGGGTGGAGTCATTCTTCATCTCTCTTGAGCAAATAGTTGACATTTCGCAACGTGAGGCTACAATCGTGAGTTAGCCTCAGTCGTCGTGGATTTAAATTAAATTAAACATTGTAGACGACAGGTTTTCTGTTATAAGTTGCCAAAAAAAGTAGATACTTCATTGAGTTAAATAAGAGGGAAAAAAAGGTTAAATGTGTAATAATTTGACAGAAATGTTTCAGTCCAGTTGTTGTGCTCAGGCTCCAGCTGTCTTTACTCGATGCCGTCCACCGTCAGATATGTGGTGCGTTCGTGGTGCTTGTCGAGGCAGGTTGGGGTAGACAAGCTGGGACTGTTGTGTGGTATGAAGGCGTTCAGAGTACCGCTGCTGCATTTTGTTGCTGTCAGCCCACATTGTTGTTACAGTTAAATGTCTTTTGGGGATGTTTTACGTGACAAAAGTGTGATATTGTTAGAAGATGTTGAAATATGTTAAAATAAGTCCAACATACTAATTAAAGTATGTTAGACCATGGGACACACTATGTATTCAACTGTGGTAATAATGACTCTTATGACAGTAATAAGAGCGTACTGATGCATTTTATGTTGAAACAAATCAATACATTGTCTTTTACGCTGTATCTAAGGTGGACAGCTTTTATTGGCTCATATCTTATTTGTTTAAGTTAAAGGACAGTATCGGATCCCATAAATATGCAAAACAATATGTTGTTATTGTTTTGAGGTTGAAATAGTTACTATTTAAAGCTGCATTATTATTATTTTTTGCAACTTAGGACAGACATGGAGCAACATTAGCATTTTGAATTGAGTTATTGGTGATCTGACGACTCTAAGTCCACCATTCACTCTCTTTTTTAGTCCGGTTTTTCGTCTTCACCACCTGAGAAACCGTCTGGTTTACAGATGCTAAACGCTCCACTATGTCTGCCGTTCAGTGCAGGGCAGCTTCTTAACGGAGGGTTTAGCAGCTTTTTAAACAAACCGTTGCTTAAAAAATGGGTTTGATGTTATGTTCTAAAGCAGAAATACACACGGCCACACCTCCGCACAACCCTGTAGGAAGGAGCCATATTTCTGGATTTTGTGTGAATGCAGCCGAAGTATAGCATTATCCTGTTTGCCTTCAGTAGATCAGAGGGTATTATATATATATAAATGATAATGATACTGATATTTAATCAATGAGCAAAGCAGTGACCAAACTCTTGCGTGCAGGCCTCCATCAACCCCAGAGACATGAAAGGATTACTACGTATAATAAGGCAGTCTAAATTTAGGCCTTAAAATCGACAACTTGAAGGAAATTGTGATATTATTTTTAGTAATTCTGCACATCGCAACCCCGCCAACTCTCCCCCCCCACCGATGTTCTACTGTATTCGAACATGATCTATTGCGTACTGTGTTCTTTCTCTTGGCTCTGCCTTTTAAAAATAATCAACCTTGGCAGCTCTGTTGGTTTTTCACTGTGCATGACACATAAGGTGAAGTTAGATTAGATAACATATAACTTTATCCACACACCACTCTTACGCTTTCAGCTCATCGACAAACCAAAAACGAAGTCAGTTGAAGCGGGAAAATGCGGGTAGTGTTGTAGGGGGTTGTGTCCTCGCTGTCGCCCGTCAGGTAGTGCCAGTTCATGACAGAGGAGGGTGACGTTATTTGACACAAAAAAACATGACATAAATCTAGGTTGTGAGCATCCAGCTGTGAGGCAGACTTTCCGTTTTGTCTTTTAGCTAAACACACACACACACACACACACACACACACACACACACACACACACACACACACACACACACACAGACTCTTTTGAACCCACATTGAGCAAGAAAGTGTTTCCTCCTCTACTGCATCTACTGTGTGTCATTCACATGTTTGACGTGACTATTTAGCTCCACTTTTGTGCTCAGGGAGTGCGTTCAGCAGGGATTATAAGGGTCAGTGTTTGTTTTATATTCATCTTAATGTCAGAAGTTGA